AGAGTCGATATTTGAGGGCCCTGGTTCGTGCCCCAGAGGGGTTGGTTCGCCCCTCCCTAGAGGGTTTCTCACCTTCTACCCGAATCGGTTTTGAAAGGGGACCTGGCTCCTCCATTCAGCCAAATTTGGGGGTATGCTTTTCCTGGCCTCAAGAAACACACAACAACAAAAAACGAGCCCAAAAAAAAAACGGTCCGCGGAAAAAAGCGACTCCCGCGGATCCGCGGATTTCCACTTGCTTGCTTGCGCCTGCATCTGCTCGTTGAACAGCTCCAACTCCTCCATGGCATTGCCCCGCTCCTCCTGGGACGGAGCCGATGCGGAAAACATGACGGCCCCTCCCTTTGGCCACAAACGACCTACCATCGCCAGTTGCGATCACGTTTTTTGTTTATTTTCCCCATGCACTCAAAACCCCAAACACTTATTGCATCAGTGACTGAAAAAGCGATCGCAACTTGGCTATTTCTAGGTAGATCGCCAAGTTGCGATCGCTCTTTGTTCAGTCACTGTAACGCGATCGGTTTGGGGGGTTTTGAGTGCATGGAGAAAAAAACAACGATCGCAACTGGCGTTCCGGGGAGATTCTTCATTCATGCTGTGGATGGCTGCGACATCCGTTCGGTTCGCACCACAAAATGACAACCACGGGAAACCAGTGCTGGTTGATATTTGCAGGGGAATCATTCCGGGGATTCTTAGGTGGTGCAGGATTGCGTCCGTCCACTGCATGTCCCTATCCCGAGTGCTTTTGATCCAAGAACTCAAACAACTTCAGGCATTTTGAGGCCTCATTCGTTTTGCCCAAGCCATCGATGTGGCATTGGGTCGCAAGAGTGGCTTGGAACAAAAACACACACATCATGTCGAAGATTCGCCCCAGTCGGGTCCGCGCAGTGGCCGATCCGATGGGCAAACAAAAAGAGCTTGGACCCGTTTGGACCCGTTTCGCCCTGCCTCCAAAAGTTGTCTACCCAAACGCTCCCAACTCCCTGAGCCTTCGAAAAGCGGTGATATTTGAGGGCCGCTGGTTGGTGTCCAATTCAGGGTCGAAACATTCGACCTCCCATTCGAACGCGTCTGGGTAGGGATGTTGGGGTTCCTACGGTTCCCTTCAGACAGGCGGTGACGTTTGTTTTTGTTCTTCTGGATGTCTCATTTGCGCAGATCAATGGAGGTCCTGGAGAGGGCAGTTGGGAAGTTGCAAGTCGCAACCAGGTCCGACCGAGCATCAACCTTGGGCTATTTGCAACCCAAAGTTATGCCCGGTGAGTTCCAGCTATAAAAGTCCATCCCAAGTGGGTCGCAATCAAAACCGATCGGTCTCAAAATCGTCATTTTTTTCAGGAACCATGTAAGGAACAAACAACGGATGTCCGCACACATTCTTCGCTGGGAACCAAACCCTTACTAACCTTCATCTACCCGACCCTAACCATCATTGGGCCCTCCATCTCCATTGAAGGGGTCGAACCGGGTCTCCATTGGAAGGTTTTGGACCTCAAAAAATTAAGCCGTTTTGAGATGGCCCGCCGATGCTTAGAAAGAAAGTCTTGACGCTCAAAGTCCAAGTCCGAATCCAACTTGAGACCCCGGAACGCCAAGCAAACCTCAAAGGCACCTAGAGCGGGGGGGGGGATTCCGTAAGGCTCCCCAAGGAACCCCAAGGAACCCGAACGCTTTCAACTACCTTGGGGATTCCGCAAAAGTGGACAACCCCAACAGAAAGGAACCGCGCTTTTTGTTTAGCACCGGAATGGTTGTCCCGAAAAACGACCAAAGCCCAACTCAGAAAGTGAGTCTCAGGCAGCCTAAAACTCGCAATCTCAACTACAATCAAAATCATCGAGTCAGATCCAATTGGAAGCCCTAGGTCTAAGCCAGGCCGTGGATGCTGGGGATGCGGGCCAACCAACCAACCAACCAACCAACCAACCAACCAACCAACCACCCAACCAACCAACCAACCAACCAACCACCCAACCAACCAACCAACCAACCCACCAACCAACCAACCAACCAACCACCCACCCACCCACCCACCCAACCAACCAACCAACCAACCAACCAACTAATCAACAAAGCAAGCAAGCAAGCAAGCAAGCAAGCAAGCAAGCAAGCAAGCAAGCAAGCAAACAAGCAAGCAAGCAAGCAAGCAAGCAAGCAAGCAAGCAAGCAAGCAAGCAAGCAGCAAGCAAGCAAGCAAGCAACCAACCAACCCGACAACCAGCCAACCAGCCAACCAGCCAACCAACCAGACTACATCTAGGAAGAAACAAACAAAAAAAAACATAGTAAAAGAATCAACACTCCTCCCATCGTGAGTCACGAGCAATGAACAAAAATGACAAACACAAAAGCCACAGCCGCCACCGCCTATGATCTTTGCGACTCACTCTCGGCCAACTCGCCGACTCGAGCTTCACTCGTTCCTCCGCCACGTGCGGGGGCTTCTTCAGAAACTCTTCAGCTGGCAGCCCAGACTTGAGGAAGACCTCTCCTCAGCTTTTCGATTTCCACCGAAAGCGTCCTTTACTCGGTTGCGAAATATGCGAAGCCCTGCTAAAGGCGAATAACTTTTAGTGGCTTAATACGGAAAACCCAAATTCGTTGGCAACAAGTTGTAAAGTCCTAACATCCACGCAAAATGCACCGAAGTTTAGGTTCCCCAAAAAAAAGGGACAACCTCACGTCCGATCGGGTGGATTGGTGTTTGCCACAAGTCTGATTGGTTTATTGCTACCCCAGAGGCTCCTGGCTTCGGTTTTCAATGGAAGACCCAACCTCTCCATTGGACACCCCGCTAACCGGTGTTTGGGGGTCTCAACACTTGGCGGTTAATGAGGGCCCTAAATGAATCGAATTGGAGCCTCTGGGACTAAAATGGTCTTCCCAAAAAGTATGCAGTCCAGAAACTCAGGGAGCGAGGACCCTTCAACTGGTGGTTTGCATCAGTGGATTGGAGGTGTAGAAGGGGTCGTTTCCCATTGATTTACCCTCCACAAGAGACGGGTCGAATCCACAAACCACCAATGCAAACCAGCTAAGGACTATCTGAACCATACCCCATAACCATGATAGTTCAGTGGGTAACCTGGAATGAGAAGCGTAGAACCCTGAAATGCATAAGCCTCGGGGGAATTCAACACGAGCATGTTCTGATTGCGCTTCATATTCATTTAATTAGCCTGGACCGACCCCAAACTAGCCATAGAAAAGGGGAATTCACAAACTTCCACAATACTGGGTTGCCATAACCGTTTTTTTAGTTAGGGTGCAACGACTGCCCATCTAAAAAAAAAAAAACAGAAAACACTTTGGCCTCACCTGACGCATCAATTGGGTCAAGCAGCTAACCGGCGGACCTAAAAACCGCCTTTGGTCCCCTTCTTGGAGTTCAAACCGGGCTATCCGGCATGCGATCGGGCAAAAGGCTGGAGTCGCCGGTCATGACCTCTACCTGGAGTCTTCATGACCCTTGAAAAGTGGGGTCATTACCCAAAATAGTGGGGTCATTGACCCATTTTTAAAGGGTCATGGAGACTCCAAGTAGACAAAGGTGTCACAACCCCATCATTCTTTTTGTTACACCATTTTCGAAGGCTCAGGAGACTCTAGGTATTCATAAATGGACCCAGTTTGTTCACAATTACGTAACAAAGTGGGGAATTATGTGGAGTTGGAGTTGGGTATGTGGAGTAACATGTGAGGCTCTTAAACCAACGGACTGTGGCCCATTCGCTCCCGAAACAAATTTCCGCCTTACATCCAACGAATCGCCTCTGGGCCTGCAGCCCGGAGCCAGAAAACGGCAAGGGGAGAGGCGCGAAACTCCAGTTTCTCCTCTTCGAAACCTGGTGCTTTAGAAAATAGTTTTTCTCACTTGGCCAGTGACCAGCCCAAAAAGAAGAAGTGTAAACGACTTGGGCTACCAAAACAAAGGGGGAGCCACCAAGGAAACAAGTGTACAGTGTGTCCTCTGGCTGGGTGAGTTTTACTTCCCGGAGGGTCTCGATGGATTTTGGGAAATTCCTCAAAATGGGTTCCTGATTTCATGAGTAGTTTGAGGGTGGTAGTTGGTTGAGTGTGGTAAGCCCACTTCAGCCAAAAGTTCGTCACTTCCCCAAGGGTCCCGCCTGTTTTCGGGCCCTCCAAATGGGTTGTGAGGGTCCTTGAGGAATTGGTCGCTTTGGGCTCTGCATTGGAGAGCCCAAGGGGTGTGCATTGGGTCCCGGAGTCATGACCCTTAGTGTTCTCTTTTCATGAATCCTTCGCCACATCCGAACCGCTTCCTAGAAAGCCGCCTTAACCTTGGTTGCTCTTGACCCCCTGCAAAAAGTTTAAACTCTTTTTTTTGGGGGGGGGTTAGCGGAAAACATGATTTCCCAAAAAGTTAAAAGTCTAAAGATCCAACCCAATAGCAGTCAAGTTAACGAGGCCTGCCTTTTGGTCGCATCAACTCGCTCGTACTGTACAGCCGCGGTTGAAACGATCGGATCGCCTCACCAGTGCAAGGGTTCGCCTTTCTCGGCGTCCAGTAGGGCGCCGCTCAGAGCCTCTAGGACTTTCCTGCGAATTGGTGGGGTGCGGTGGGGTGGGGTGAGATAGGTAGGGTGGCTGGGTGGGGTGGGGTGGGTGGGGTGAACTTCCATGTTTAAGTTGGTAGTTTGAGGGTCCACGGCCAGGGCTTTTTTTGCATTCTGCAGCCAAACCTGAACACGAACAAAACCAAAACACAGAAAAAAACAACTCGAAAGACTCGATCCAACCGTGAAGTCTGGTGGGAGGTGGTGGGTGGTGGGTGTTGGGTAGGAGGGGGCTCGGGAGTCCGGAGTGGGCGGGGCAACCCAATGCTCCTTTCAGCATGTAGGTGGCTTGACCAAAAGGTCCTTTACATGGGGATGACCATTGGAAAACCATGGGAAAACCGGGACAACCGCTAAAAAGATGATGCTTCCCACATAAACACAAAACAGTTTCTCATGGTCGTTTGGGGGCCATTCACGGATCCCTCCGTTGAAGGAGCACCTCCATTGCTTTGGGCCTCATGTTGAGAGCCCCATGAACGATGCTTCGGGTTGCAGAGGCAGTTTGGTGGGTTTGATTACTTCTTTCACTCCCAAAAACAAGAGGCTTCGGTGGTTCCGTGAGTTTCCTTGCAAAACCGCAGTAAAGGGGTGCCGACCCTCAAAAATGCACACACCCAAATAAAAAAAGTCTATAGTCAGGAATGCTACTTGAAGGACGCAGTCGATGTCGATTTCGTTCAGTTTCCAAAAGGCCAAGCTGGTATTCCCAGTTTTATTTGGGAGTGTGAGGTAAGTGGCTGGAAACCATTGACAAGAAACGCAGGAAGCAAATGCCAGCCTAGCTGCAAGTGGCGAATATCTGGTCCTTACGTTCCCTGAGTAGAATATACCCTCATCCAAACCAAACCCAACTTGGCAACGCACGGGCAGCATACCCATCAGTTCGGCAGTTGTAAGTCCCCTTTCCGCGAGTTATAACTATATGCGTACTAAGCACTGGACCAGCCTGACGTACCCGATTGCCCCTTGATGCATGACAGCTTCTTCGCATGTAGCATGTTTTAAGTCGAAAAGGTCTGCGTTTATCTCGAGACGCAGGGAACCTCCACAAGTGTTGGTTCTCTGTTGGTGACCCTTTTTGAACAACCAAAAACAAGTTAAGGGTACCGAGCCTCGACAAAACCACATGCCTATATTATTGGCACCCCTGACATATTTTGCCACACGGGCTTCTGAACATACTGATGGGTGAAGAGAATCAAGCCTTTGAATTGAGGGACAGGCACAAAACAAACTTCTGGTGTGCGTTGGACCGTTGGGTTGCAACTCAAATGAGAATGACCTCCCAGTTGCATCCCAAACCCTTGAAAACTTGATCGTCCGCTTTTGGGGTTTCCTCCGTTCATTCGCCGGGGAGTACTCATGCTTATGCTTTGCCCACTTCTGGCGAACACAGACTCCGTAGTATGGACACCCGTCGAATTTTTGCCAGACAGAACTCACCTCTGGACCCAAAACCTACCCCCCGCAAAGGGAATTCAACGTATATTTTCACAGCTGTGCAACTACAAGGTTAAACTTTTGGGGTGATGACTAAATATGGACCAAGTTTGGAAAACCAACAGGTGAACAGGTCGGCATTGAACAACTGAGTTTTATGCCAATCAAGCATTCAAGTCACCATGATTAGAGTTTGGCCCAGTTATAATGTATATGTGATTGTTTGATCCAATTTGGCACTGGTACAATTGTCAAATGCATCCTAAGTGTACCCCAGTCACCCTCATTTTAACAGGGATCCTTACATTATAAACCTGAACATTGCAACTTGTGAATGGTGTTGTTTTCAACTTCATTTTGGTGTTGAAAAAGCCACTGGTTGCAAAATGTGGTTTCCAACTTCATGTTGGTGTTGAAAAAGCCACATGTACCCCACATGGATGGTTGCAAAATGGTGATTTGTTTAGGAGCCCTGTTCATCTACCCGGGTTTTGATTGTGGCTCAGGTGCGCTTCAAAGGGATCTCCAACGCTGCCCTTTGGCATCTCGCCCATTTTAAGGAGCCCATTTTTTGGAGCCCTGCCACACTAGTAAACAATCAGGGAAACCATGGTAAAACCTGGAGGTAGGGATCCCTTGCCTGGAGTGACTCGCACTCACTCGGCTTTGCAATCAAGTCATGTGGGAAACATCATCTTTTTAGCGGTTGTCCCCAAGTGTCCAATGTTGTTTCCATCTTTTTAGTGGTTTTCCCATGGTCATCCCATGTAAAGGACCTTTTGATCAACCCACCTACATGCTAAAAGGCGCAGTTTGGGCTCCATAAGCTTTGCGCAGTCTACTCCGGACTCCCGACCCCCCTCCTACCCAACACCCACCACCCACCACCTCCCACCAGACTTCACGGTTGGATCGAGTCTTTCGAGTTGTTTTTTTCTGTGTTTTGGTTTTGTTCGTGTTCAGGTTTGGCTGCAGAATGCAAAAAAAGCCCTGGCCCTGGACCCTCAAACTACCAACTTAAACATGGAAGTTCACCCCACCCACCCCACCCCACCCAGCCACCCTACCTATCTCACCCCACCCCACCGCACCCCACCAATTCGCAGGAAAGTCCTAGAGGCTCCCACATGAATGGAGCCCCAGCTTACTTGAGCTACTCCAAATACCTGGGCTTGCTTTCGTCTTTCTTGTTGTGTTTTCTATTTTTGTTTATTTCTGAAAACCCCACCTGGCTCTTTCTTTTTTGGGTTGTTTTTCTGAAAACCCCACCTGGCTCCTTCTTCTTTTGGGTGGTTTTTTCTGAAAACCCCACCTGGCTCTTTCTTCTTTTGGGTGGTTTTTTCTGAAAACCCCACCTGGCTCTTTCCTTTTTTGGGTTGTTTTTCTGAAAACCCCACCTGGCTCGTTCTTCTTTTGGGTGTTTGTTTTTGTAAAAAACCCACCTGGCTCTTTCTTGTTTGGGTTGTTTTTC